ATAAGTTTAAATCTTTTGATCATCACAATAACAGAAGCAAAGCGTGTTTCCGCAACCGAAAGCAACTTTAAGCTAACAAACTCATTGAAAATAGCTAATCTCATTGAATGTTTCATGATGAAATTCTTTATTATTGTAACCTCATCAACATAATCAAGAATCCAACCACACTCTGCATATGCAGTTTCATTCTTTTCCACGTTTTTTGCAACACAAATATTTTTGAGGGCAAGATTAAGAGTATGGACCACACAAGGTGTCCAAACAATGTGAGGGAATTGCCCTTCAATTAGTTGTCCAGCGGCCTTGCAATTTAGGGCATTGTCTGGAATTACTTGGATCACATTTTGGGGGCCAACCTCATTTATGACTTCCTTCAACAAATTGGGAATGAAAAACTTGTCTTTAATTCCACCGGAACAATCAACAGCTTTCAAAAACATGGGACCACCTTCTGTCACAGCCATAAAATTAATTAAAAGCCTTCTTTGTGGATCACTCCAACCATCACTTGCAATGCTAACACCCTTTGCCTTCCATGTACCCCTAATTGGTTGCAATAATCTATCAATATTTGCCTTTTCTTTTTGAAGTAGAGTGGTTCTCAATAGATTATAACTCGGAGGCAAATAACCTGACATAGGATTATTTGCAGCATAGTTGTATGAACTCACATAATACGGGTTTCTTGCTAGATGAAACAGCAATCTTGCCGAATAAAACATCCTAGCAATCTTTGAGTGCAATTGTCCCCGAGCCTCATTATTAAGTGCCTTCTCAATGGCACCCCCACTTGCCTTTATTTTCTTTGGTACATAAGCCTCTTGAGTGAGACTAATAGTACCACCCAAATGATGCACTAGACGGCGGCAAAGGAACTTTTTTTGGTTTAGAATTTTTAATTCTCAATTCGGCTTCTTCGATTGCTTTTTGCATTTCTGCAATATTCTGAGATGTGACTTTTGGGCATATGCGAATACCCATACCAGTGTTCTACAACAAGTGGGCTTTAACTCTTGTATAAGACCCCCTGAATTCGTTATTACAAAAGTGGCATTTGAATAAAAAATTTCCTCCACCTCCAATTTTTTCTAATTGTGTGACATAGTTCCAAAGTGGTTTGTTCTCATCTTGTTTGAATTGAGGAGTACTACTAGCAACTGATGTAGACAATGACATGTCTAATTCCCTGGACATAAAAAGAAAAGAAAAGAAATCCATACTTACAGCAGTCAGCAAAGAAAGAACAGTCAGCAAAGAATGAATAAATTCCTATTTGATCATAGATTCACAAGTCATATGCAACAGCTGAAATTAAATCAAAGATGAAATCCTATTCATTTACGGGTCAATAAGTCATACCAACTGAAATTAAAGCAAGAATAAATACAACAGAGAAGAAGAAGAAGAAAGAAATTAAGGTCTGTGAAAAAGGAAAAACACCAGAGAAGAAGAAAGAAAGAAAGACGGGTTTGTGAAAAATGAAAAAAAAAAAAAACAACAGAGAAGAAGAAGAAGAAAGAAATTGGGGTTAGTGAAAAAGGCAAAAAAAAAAAAAAAAAAAGAAGAAAGAATTTGGTTTGTGAAAAATGAAAAAAAATAAAACAAAGAAAAAGAAAGAAATTGGGGTTAGTGAAAAAGGGGGGGAAAAAAAAAAAGAGAGAGAGAAAAGAAGAAGAAAGAATCTAGGGTTTTGAAAACGGAAAATGAAAAAAAACAAAGAAAAGAGGAGGAAGAGGAGAGAGATAGAGAGAGACTGACCTGGAGGCTGGAGGGAGTCGCCTTTAATCGGTAGCAGGAAGTTGCAGAGCTTCGTCACTTTGAGAGAGCAATCCAGACGTCCTTTGAATCTCATCTTGTAATAGTGTAATGACTAGCCTTAAATATCTATTTCTTTTGTTTAAAATTACATATTAACCTTGAAAGTTTAAAATTATTATGTTCTGACCACATAAGTAAAAATTGTTAAATAATTTTATATGTTTATACTTTAACCCAACTTTCTTTTAAAAATTATCTTTTAGACCCTCGAAAATAAGACACGCGTGTCAGACACACACCCCTGGCGTGTCGGACGCGTGTCCGCGGAGTGTCCGTGCCGTGTCCGAAAATTTTAAAAAAATAAAAAATTTCAGACACTTTTTTTGGCTTGTACGACACGTGTCGGGGCGTGGCCGAAGCGTGTCCGTGTCAGATATGTGCCGGACACGGATTCTTTGCCTATTTTGGAGTGTCCGTGCTTCTTAGGTTGTAAGAGATATTTATATGTATGTGATGACGATCAATACTAGAACGTAAATAACAATTATAAATAGTTCGTAGTTGGTAATTAAGGATGGACTCTTAATTAACTAAGATTTGAACCGGATCCGTGATAGGTTGAGATATATTGTGAGAGCAGTCATATGCAATTGCTCCCAATCATCGTCATGACATTTGACTCTCAAACATGAAAGAAGTATAGATTCTTTTATTAATTAGTTATTACTTTAATTTGTTCGGAGGAATCTTCAGGATCCAATGACCGGCACTTTGGGTAGTTATGTAATTAATAGTTAGAGAGTTATATTCTCAATATTTGCATCGTAGCTACTTATATTTATTTTGTATTGATTATGGTTGATCATAAAGTAAATTCAAAGGTCTTTGTGTGTTTTAGACAAAATGTTTTTTATGTATTTATTTACTAAATTGTTATTTTTGTCAAACAAATGTTGTATTGTGATCAAGTCGAGAAATAATCAAGGAGTCAAAATAAATAAATTAAATGTGCGGTCGGATTGATGGTTACAATTATCCGATAGCTAATTATGCATAGAGGGGTCAAAGTGCAACATTCACTTGGCGGTTATTTACTATTTAATTGGAGGTTAATTAATTTCTTTTAGTGGAGTAGAAATTAATTTATTAATTAATTGAATTGGGTCCATGGTATAATGGACCGGATCAATTATTAATTCATTGGAGTTAAGAAAATAGTAAGCCCAAAGGATTCTCACCTATAGCTCAACTTGATATTGGAAGACCCATTAGATTGGAGATAGCACTTTAATTATTAGAGATTGAAAATTACTTTTGACACACCATGTGGCTATATATACATGATGACTTTGTATTCATTAGTTAGCTTTTTGGGCACCATTAATGTGTGAAAGAAAAATATCTCTCTCTAGAATATTAGGGTTTGTTCTCTCATCTAAAGGAGGCTCCCACAAGCTATAAGTCTTCCAAGGGTTTCATGGAGGCATATAGGTGATTCCTAAAGGCAAATCCATATTCAAGGAAAGAGGTGGCTTAGATATTCTAGATCAAGCTTCTATAAGTGATAGTCTTCACTTTGGTGGATTGTTTTGAGCTTTTCTCAAACCTCTATGTAAGTTTCCTAAACCTCAAGTTTTCATCATCTTCTTCTTGTGTAAAAGAAGCTCCTAGAGATGGATCAAGTTCTTTTGTTGAAAAGCCCTCTTATATTTTGTAAAATATCCATTTCCCTAACACTCTATCATGTATTGGCACCTGCAGAGTAGCATCCCTAGGGAAAGGAAACCATCTGACAACCCCATGACCAAATCTCTGCAAAAGAGTAAGGCCATTGCACCAAGGATCATGAAACAGACTTAAATTGGACTGAGAGCCAATTTTATAGGAAGTATGATCTCACATGGTGTCCCTTACAGATAAAAGACGCTTCCACACAGCAGGCTGACAAGTATGAGGAATAGCATTCCAATAGGATGCATTCTTCATGTAAGTGTTATAATAGCAGCCCACCCCTAGGGTGTCTTTCCTTTGAAGCAGGTCCCACACCATAGAGCAAGCAAAAGCTTTCTGAATATCAGCAATGGATCTCACACCAATCCCTCCTAGTAGAATTTGAGCAGGTTAGACAAAATGGAGTCAAGCTAGTGGGATTTTATGCAATAAATGAATAACAAATAAATTAAAAGATATTTTTGTATCGAAAATTTATCAAGCCGATTATTTTATATGGTTCATATCCAAGTTGCATCAATCAAGTCAGTTTATGAAGGTAAATCTTTTGAACAAATATAAAATTCCTCCTCAATTAACGTACCTGAACCTTCCCAACCAACAGATACAAACATAGATTTCATCCTTTCTCCCATAAAGCTTCTTTTCCTGAATTTTAGCTCTTCTCTTTCTTATTTATTCTTACTATTATCACTTTCTAAACCGGGCTGACAGAATGAAACCTTAATGTATCTGGTTCATATGCCTGGAACAAGAAGGTTTGCCAAAGTATTGAGCTTTTGGGGGGTGGGATGAAGACTTAGGTGGTATGGACATATCCAAAGAAGACCGGTACATGTTCTGGTGAGAAGAGGGAGATTAATTTGGATATAAGGTAGGGTGCAAGGGGGCGACCAAAGTTAACATGGGATAAAATTCTAATGAAGTTTTTAATTATTACTTATAAAAAAAAAGTGATAAAATGACTAGAAATGATTTTAAAAAGGTTGAATGTAATGGAGAGGTGACTATTAATAGAAAAGAACGGAAAAAGAAAAAATGTGTCCGACTCCATTAATATGAGATTAACTCAAGGATGATGATGATGATGTTATATTGGCAATTCCTGCACGTTTATATATGTTTTTGAATATAGTGACAAATTTATAATTTACGCGTTATTCAGTGTTCAAAACAACTTGGACTATGGGGATTAACGGGGAAGATTATAAATTATTTGCATGAGGTTCTAGAATGAAGTTAAGTGAAAGGCAATTCATATTCAGGAGAAAGGGAGAAGTAACATTGTAGGTCGTGGCTCTAAAATTGTTCAGATTAAGTGGTTTAATAATTTGGGGTTCTAGCCGCATCATTCTCTGCATTATTGTATTAACTCATGTATTTCAAAACTTCATGGAATTTTTGTCACAATAATCATAAAATGAAGTAAAATCTATTAACTCAAGAATTGGAAGCTTCTTTTTTAGTGTTCAAATATAGTAACTGAACATAGTTGGAAAATGTTTCAGGTTGCAATTGTCGTCGGTGGGGGAAATATCTTTCGTGGATCGTCTTGGGCTGGAAGTAGCGGTCTTGATCGTTCTTCTGCTGATTACATTGGGTATTCATCTTATTTTGATTTAAAGCTATCCTGTTATGAACTATTATTGGTTATTTATGCTGGTTTGCTGCTTATAGAAGGCTTTACCATGTTGCAAGTCATATTCTAATGCGTAATGGGTTGGTTTGCATAGGATTGAATTCTATATGTCTCTCTTCCTATTTATATATATATATATATATATAGAGAGAGAGAGAGAGAGAGATAGAGAGAGAGAGAGAGAGAGAGAGAGAGAGAGATCACACTACCCAGTCTCCAAGGGCAAAAATGTGAAGAGTTATTTGCTAATTAAGATTATAAATAGTCAGTTGGATCTTTTGGTACATGCTGGAGGTTGGAACCTGAAATGCTGCTAAAAAATATAAAAGATGTAAAATCCTGCAGCTTGCAAGTGTTTGAATAATTGCTTCCCGATCCTCCTGCTATATATAGAACTTTATAATTGTCCTTTCTTTTTGGGTATAGCCTGCATTGGGTATGTAATTTTGAGCTGGAATGATAACTTGCAGAAGTTTTTCTTTTCGAGGGTGGGGGAGGAAAGGGGATGGCTGGTTGTAGTGGGGAAGTTGATTTTATCTATATGTTTGGCTTTGTGCATGTGTTATTTAAAGCTTGAGTGGTACCTCCTTGCAAAATGTACTCCTTTTTATTTATTTATTTTTTGTGTGGACGGTGGGAGGAGACAAGGGAGGGCTTGGTGTGTAACTAGTTGTTAGACAGTCGACATTATCCTTCTCTCAAAATTGAGCGTTGTCTAATTATGAAGATGGCTGCCATTCAAATTGCTTCTTCACCTCTCTAATTGCATTACCCTATTATTCAGGATGTTGGCAACTGTTATGAATGCTATATTTCTGCAAGCGACAATGGAGAGCATTGGCATCCCAACACGAGTCCAGACTGCATTTCGCATGTCTGAAGTTGCTGAACCATACATACGTAGAAGGGCTGTTAGGCATTTAGAGAAAGGTAGGGTTGTGATTTTTGCAGCTGGAACTGGAAATCCATTCTTCACAACAGATACTGCTGCAGCCCTTCGTTGTGCAGAGAGTAAGTCCTTTTCGGATGCTATATACTGTACCTAGAGATTCGGGGATGTGCCTGAATTTTAAATATGCGAACTGTACCTGAATATTTTACCAACCCATATTTTTTTCTAACATATTCACAATATACTTGTGAAAATTACCAAATTTATATTTTATCTGGTAACTAATAATTCTGCATGGGTTAATAATTTTTTTTTTAATCTGCACTAATTTTGGCATTCATTTTTGATCCAGTTAATGCAGAAGTAGTGCTGAAAGCTACAAACGTGGATGGGGTATATGATGACGACCCCAGGCATAACCCAAATGCTCGCCTTCTCGATACTTTAACATATCAGGAAGTGATATCAAGGGATCTTTCGGTGATGGACTTGACGGCTATTACTTTGTGTCAGGAGAACAACATTCCTGGTATGGCTTTCGTAAGATGTATCTTATCGATTGTTTTGTTCAATATTATTATGGTTTGATATCTAAGAATGGACATTTAGATGGTGGCACTCTTACAAATGATGGAATATGTTAAAAGGTTGCAGTAGTATAGGGGAAAAGTGTTGACACATCTAAAAGAAAGATTGTGTCGAGGGTATGATTCTTTTGCTTACAATTAAAATAAATATCAGATGGAAAAAAAGCACTAATTGCACTAAGCTTGTGTTTTCCTCGTGCAGTTGTTGTGTTCAATCTTTCCAAACACAGCAACATCTCAAAAGCCATCATGGGGGAAAGGGTGGGCACATTGATTGGAGCAACCTTGAATTCAGCTGCAGCAATGACTTGATTAGGAGGGTTTATACGACGATGAAGGTTGGTTTTTCTTCTTGGTTTGGGTTCGAGGTTGTAGCTGCCAAAACAGTTCATCATCGAAACTTTCAAGGTTGGAGTTTTGCCATGGAAAGCATAATGTAGTATGCATTTGAAGATTGAAGATGAAAAATGAACACAGCAGTGCTAAATGTGAGCATCCAAGTTAGCTGATTGAGATGTTTATTGATGCTATGTAAAATATCTTGTGGAATGCAGAATTTTGTTCAAGTGTCTTTATCCTTTTTTCTGAACTCAAATTGCAGTGTCATGAAAAGGGTAAATTACAATACATGTTTCTGAAATGGCAGCTTTGATTTTCATTAGCCATGAAAAGGGTGGGGCATGTTTGGGGTTGTGGAACTAATAAATAATTTACAGAAGGGAGCTTAAATTGCCATGATATATGTAATATTTTAGCAACACAAATACATAGTGCATAGAAGCGTCACTTAGTAACAGTGTAAAGGGATGACCAAATGGGCAATAGCGCGCCTCTGGAGGTCAGGGCGTAAATAATAATAAAGTTGTAAATAGACCGGTTGGAGAGAAAACTTTATGAAATGTTCATCTCTAACCTAATTTTAATTTCGATTTTTAGCCCTAACCACTCAATTCACGTTAACCCATCTTAAACTCAATTTGAAACTCGGGTTGAAATTTTGCGTTAGGAAGTTAGATTAATTGACTTGTCTATAACCGATCTCCACATTTAAAATTTAAAGTATTAAGATTACTCCAAAATAATAATTTTTTATTTTTTTTAATCAACGGGGGGGTAACACGGCATGGTGCGTGTGAGTACCAAGTACCAATTAAGGGGAAAAAAAAAACACAAAGCAACATTTTTTGCAAAGCAAAAAAAAAAAAAAAAAAAAAAAAGAAAAACTTAATAAATTTCTAAAAAATTGTAAAAAAAAAATTAAGAAATAAATTCTCTTAAATGTTAACATACAATAAATTAAAATTTAAACAAAAAGAAGTCGAAAAGAAAAAAAGTGATCATAATTTGAATATTATATATAATATATTTAAAATAAAAAATATGTAAAAAAAAAAAAAAAAAATTTAAAATTCGGGTTCGGGCAGGGCTACTGATACTCCACAACTCAAGTCCGACCCTAATTAAGTTCGATTGAGATTTTTCAACCTACACCCAATTGTAAAAATGGTTGCTCAAACTCATGAAAAATTGGGCTGTCTTGAGTTGAGTTCGATTGGTCATCCAAATTGGCACTCTAATAATAATATATATATGTATATGTTTTTTCTTCGTGAATGTGTATATATTTCAGAAACAAAGAAGCATTAAAGTACATAGAAGAGAGATCCAAAAACAAGGACTTAAAAAAAAGAAAAAAAAGAAAGGTATTTTCATAATTCAATGTGGTAAAAAATTCATTACCAGCATAATTAATAATTTAACATGTAACCTATGCAAAATTAAGCATAACATGTTATCTAGGTAATTAAATTACAATTTTGGCAAAATTAATAATGAACATTACATCTTGTCAATTTGGTGTCAATTACAAATTTGGTATTTATATTCCACAAAAAGTAAACGAAAGGAACAGGGAAGGAAGAGAAGAAAACGTGCTAGACCACTGACCCGATGTACAATCTCATGGCCCACCAAGTTGCAAAAGGTCACTAAATAATTCAACATTTTTTTAAAAGAAAGAAAAAAAAAAAAAAAAAAAAAAAAAAACCTAAATGTAAATTTCTAAAAATTATAAAAAAAAAAAATTAGAAAATTAATTCTCTAAAATGTTAACATACAATAAATTAAATTTAAACAAAAAAAGTTGAAAAGAAAAAAAGTGATCATAATTTGAATATTATATATAATATATTTAAAATAAAAAATATGTATAAAAATAATATTAAAATTCAAGTTCGGGTTGGGCTGTTGATGTTGCGAAATCAAATAGAAAATACAAGAAATAGATCAAACACACACACAATAAGAACACATAGATTTTACTTGGTTCACCCAAAATCTAGAGTTACGTCCAAAGGTTGTAGGGATTTCACTATGATGATCAAAAATAGCGACGGAAACAGATAGTTTAGAATGAATAAATATTCTCGCACTAGGGCAACATAATAAGTGCGGCAATAACCCAAATACCCTCCAAAAAATTCTAGTTGGGGGTAAGCCCCTGAACCCCCACCTTCGGGCAGGGGGGCTCTGCCCCCTGCAACCCCCCCGCTAACTTACCGCGAAGTTGAATCTGCGAAATTGGGGCTTGGTGTACAGTATCTATAAGGCTCTACACTACCCATCAGTTGATACCCCAACTCAAGTTCAACCCTAATTAAGTTCAATTGAGATTTTTCAACCTATACCCAATTGTAAAAATGATTGCTTAAGCTCATGAAAAATTAGGTTGGTCTTGGGTTGAGTTCAATTGGCCTGCCCAAATTGCACTCTAATTAAAAAAAGATTTTTTTTTTTTTCTTCCTGAATGTGTATAGTATTTCACAAACAAAGTAGCATTATGTGTTTGGTAAGGTTTATTTGGAGGGATAGGGAAAGGAAAGAAAAGAAAAGAAAGGATAGAGTGGGAATGTGTTTGGGTGGGTTAAGTGGGGAGAAAAGAGAGGAAGAATTTTTTTTTTCTTCCTGAATGTGTATAGTATTTCACAAAGAAAGCAGCATTATGTGTTTGGTAGGGTTTATTTGGAGGGATAGGGAAAGGAAAGGAAAGGAAAGGAAAGGAAAAGAAAGAAAAGAAAAGAAAGAATAGGGTGAGAGTGTGTTTTGGTGGATTAAGTGGGGAGAAAAGAGAGGATAGGGAGAGATAGCTATCCCCCCCTATCCCTCATTTGGTTTCTCTCCCAATTTGAGAAGACAGGGAGAGAAAGAATAGTGAAGTGAGTGATTAATTAGTAATACCAAAAATACCTTCAACAAATCAATATACAGAAATGTGTGAAGTGGTTATGGAAGAGTAGAACAGTAATTTGGTCACTATCCTTTCTTTTCCTTTCTCTCCTCTATCTTATTCAAACAAGAATCACTATTATTTCTTTTCTTTTTTCCCCTATCTATCCAAATACGAATAAAAATTATTATTATCTGAAGATACAAGAAATTCCTTCCATCTTTCTCTCTCTAGAATTCTTGCATTTCAACTAAAAAAATATCTCTCCTTTCTTTCCATTACTTCTCCTATTTATAGATATTTACAAATGTTGATGGACTGCTGGATCTAGGCCCGTTCCTCCATGAGTCCTGGTCATCTTTGATGGGCTTATTCGCGTTCGGCCCATATGGCAGTGTCTTTTTATGGGCTTGACCCATCTGTATGGACCGGATGTCGCGTTTGCAAGTCATATCCGGCCCATGTCATCTCGGGCCTCCTCAACTGCCCCCATAATTACCCCTTGTTTAATAAGGGGGTAATTATTGAAGGCGTCTCATCATGACGTTGACGGCTCGAGAAACCCACATGGGGGAACGGACGGTCAGATCCAGAATTAATGTTCCGGGGCTCGATGAATTTCTCGCCTTCCTGACGCTTCGGCCCTCGGGTCCCCCTCGCCTTTATAAGGCTCTAGAATACCACTTCATGCCTTTTTACCGTCTCCATCATCAGTCAAATCTCTCTCTTTTTAGAACAGTGCTAAGCTTTTTCCGGTGAAATCCTTCAAGAGTCATTCTTCCAGCGGTCTTGCAGTGCTCTTTGTTGCTTTCTACCTCAGAGGTTAGTTTTGTTCCTTTTTACTTTCGGCAGGCTTCTTTTTACCCTTTTAGATCCTTCAAACACTTCCACCATAGTTGTAGATCTAGATGTTCTTCGTATGATACTTAGACTTCCTGACAACATCCAAGTTAGGGTTTGCCCTAAGGATGTTAATATTATGACCGGTGCCGGCCTCCTTCCCGGCGAAGTTTTATTTTCAAACCTTCAACTGAATGTCGTTAGGTTCCCTCTGCACCCCTTCTTTAATTATGTCTTCAATAGACTGGGGATATCCCCCCTGCAGGTAAACCCCAATTTCTTTAGAATCATATCTGTTATGCTACTGTTGATTCGTGACAGAAGTCTGGACCTTGACCTCATAGATCTTTTTCTGTGTTATAAGGTCAGTAAGATCCGAACTAACGAGCCTTTCTACCACCTCTACCCGATCGACAAGATGTCCATATGTACGGACACAATCAAATCTGAAAAGGGTTGGAGGGATAACATCGTGGGCATTAGTGGGGCCTGGTCTTCGCTGGCTGCAGAGGATTACCCAATCCCGAGCGCCTTTGGCGTTTGTTCTGTTTCCTCATATAAGAAATTCAAATCTCACAAAAACGATTGTCCCTGCGAAACATGTGTTCCTCGCTTTTGTACTTTCTTATGCCGCTCCTTAGGAATACCTTGTGATGACTTGAGCTACAGTATTTGCAGGGATAGGAGTAATTACTTGAAGAAATACGTTCTGAACGATATTCCTTCCTGCTCAGACCTCCTCACTTCAGACAACCTTCTAGCGCTCTCATCCCTCGGCTGTACCATGAGCAGGCTTCAGATTCCATCCTTTGGCAGGAAGAAAAATACTCCCCCAACCACTTCTGCTGCTGGGGCAACCTCCTCTCCTGCATCAGCCTCTTCCTCAGCCACCATCTCTGACACCATCCCGAGCACGGTGGCTATTGATTCTGTTGTCAGCACCCCTGCTACCAACCCGAGCGCGTCTCCACAAATCACTACAACCCCTGCTGCCGCTGGGGGCGCTCGGGACAAAGAACGAGGCAAAAGGCCTCATCCTGACGGTGGAGTCGACCCTGAGGAGGAACCTCTTATAAGAAGGACCCGGGTCTCTGGGCCGTGTGCTCTCTTGCATCGTCCAGTCAGAGCTCCTGCCTCCTCCGGGCCTGTTGCAGCTGGTGCCTCTGCTTCTGCTTCAGCCTCCCCTTCTCTTCCCACTTTACCACCATGGGCTCCTCGGTACACCCGAACGGATGGGACGTTCGTGAAGCCGAACGAGACCATACTAAAGGATGGCCAGACCGCCATGGCGTATTATAGGAGCATGTGGACTCCGAAAGACCTTGAGGCGGCGAAAGGTCTATCCCAGAAGGATGTGTTCAGCCGCTTTCCCCAATCTGCCATGGAGGTGACTTTTATTTTCCAACTCATGAATCCTCTCATATTATTTGGTCTTGCCTTCGTCCGACCAGACTATCGGTTTAACCATTATTAATGTATATCTATGCAGACTTTGTTCGGAATGATGGCTATGCAGAAGCAGGTTGAAATGGGGAACGCCAGGGCCCGTAAGTTTTCTGATAGCCTGGAGGTGGCCAATAAGGAAAACGACCTTC